GGCAGTTTTTATTTTCCTGTATCAGTAGTAAGTTGGTAAACAGACAACAACAGCTCCTTATCCAAAAGGTAAGATGCCACACTGGGACAAGGACAGGGCACACTGCAAAGGCCCCAGCCAAAAGCAGTGTTTGGTAATATACCGGGACTGTCCCACCCGCTTGCTTGACAGGGGTCATAAGCTGCTTGCTTTCTGACCTTCCTGTTGACAGGGGATTCTCTCAGTACGGCACTGTTCATTCAGGGGGCCAAGAGAGCAATGCTAGGTGCAGGCTTTTATTCCACTCTATTCTGTAAAAATCAGGTTTCTTCAAGTTCAGGTCTTCATGGCTTTCTTCACGAATCACCATCAGTTCCTGTTTCACTGCCTCTTCCCAGACACCCGCATCTACGTAACAGGCAGACCCTTTCCCTGAAGGGGAAACTGCTGCCAGACATCCTGTCACAGACGCAGAAGCCTGTGGGCCCATGAGCCAGCGAGGGGAGAGGGAAGCTACACTTGCCATACTGCGTGTGACACCCGCTCTTGTGTTTTCGCAATGGCCTCCAGGCTAAAAGATGCAGTGTAAGAATTTGAAGAAGTGCACATCCATATCTTGATGGTTAGAAACAGATATATACAGGAACCTTCCAGATTTCTTATCTAACCTGCTCTCCCTCTCAACTCTGCATCTTAAATCCCACTTCATGCCTTTTTCTTTCTTTCTTTCTTTTTTCTTTTCTTTTTTTTTTTTTTTGGTACCGGGGAATCGAACTCAGGACCTTGCGCTCGCCAGGCAGGCGCTTGTGCCACTGAGCTATCTTCCTGGTCTCCACTTCATGCCTTGCATTAAAAAAAAAAGCAAAATGAAAATCTAGAAACCCTTTTCCCCTTCTAAACTAGTACTTTGGACTTACAGTGGCAATAACTTCCGGTAAACACATTGGCTACAAAGAGAGGCCTGGCTGCAACTCCACCGGGTCACAGGCAGTTGGAGGAACCCACCAGCCTCTTGGTGTCTGTGCTTGGGGGGCTTTGGGTTCTGCAAGGGAGATCTCCATTGCTAGGAGGTCCTGCCATGGGAAACTGAGTCTCTAAAATGCTCTCCTATGCTATCTTTGACCCAAACTTTAGCACTAGTGTTTTTTCATTTCACTTTCTAGGTTCCAAACATAGAGGAACCAGGGCTCAGAGGCAAGTGAAGTCTCTTAAGCTTGCAGCAATCCTTACTTTCTTCATTCATAAGTTTTACTTAAAAGACTAAAATTCCTATCTTCCTTTTAAATAGATTCCTGCTCTCAGCCTTGGTGGCCACTGGCAATGACATTTACTTCCCAGTGGATGAGAGAGACCCCTTCATCTTCTTGGCCATAGTGGGGATGAGTTTATGTGGTCACCCACACACCTGGCCACACAGCTGCACGGCTGCTGTTTCACCTGAAGCTGCTTTCTCTGCATCCACGGAATCTTGGGCTTTGTGGCTGCAATGCACAGTGCAGAGGGCTGGAGGGTCCCAGAAACATTTCCAAATCATTGGTCACCCACACCTGGGCTTGAACTAGAAGCGCACGGTCATGCTGGATACATGGGTGCACCCGTTGCATGGACGCCTGGCTGTCCTCACAGCAGCTGGCACTGCACCAAAACCTGAGGGCCAGCATCTCCTGATGTCCTGTCTCTCGCCCTCTTCACCTTGGAGACCACTGACTCAGCTCTGCCCTGGCGAGTGCTGGCACCCATGTAGCCTTGGTTCGCCCCCTTGCCCACTGACAATGTTTTTGTTTTTAGACAGGGTCTCACTCTGTAGCTCAGGCTGTCCTAGAACTCACAGCAATCCCCCTGCCTCAGCCTCCTGCTGTGATTACAGGTGTGCAGGCAGGAGGAGGCTGAGGCAGGAGGACTGCAAGTTCAAACCCTGCCTGGGCTGCATAGTGAATTCAAGGCCAGCCTAGACTACACAGCAAGACCTTATACAAAACAATCAAAACAACAAAGTCCAACATTTGACACCCACATCGGGGAAGGGTCATAACAATGGCCCAAAAATGCAAGGGGCAAGTGGATGCAGAAGAGGCGGTTCGGGAGGGGCAGTGGCACCAGCACCTGGTAACACCTGCTCTCATGGTGACCAATCCAGTCTTTCTAGAAGTAACCTGGTCCAGGAGAAAGGGATTAGTCCCTCTTAATCACCTAACCACCTCTCCACGGCCCCACCTCCCAGCTCAGCCTCAGGGGCAATCACATTTCAACATCAGCTTGGCTTGGTGCCGTACTTATCCCCAGTACTCTGGGAGGCTGAAGCAGGAGGACTGCAAGTTCTAACCTAGCCTGGGCAGTATGGTGACTTAGCAAGACCTTGTCTCAAAATAAGAAATAAAAAAAGGGCTGGGGATGTAGCTCAACGCAAAAGCCTTGGGTTCAATCTGAAGTACCAAAGCGGGGAAAAAAAATTCGACATGAGCCGAACCATCTTCAAACCATAGCAGAGGGCATCACAAGCAGTGGCTGCTCACCACCGGAAAATTGAATTTGAGGAGAATGCAGAACTTCCAGGTAAAGTCAGAATTCCAGGCACTATAATGCCTAGTGTCCAGGTGCTGAGGCAAAGAAGTTGGTGACCTTGGCTACAATCCCCACTCAGCACTCACCTGCTGTATTGCCTGCCTGGGCTTATCTGTAGGGCTAGAATAAAAACTAGTTCCTATTTCTTTGTTCAAGTGATTATTTTGGATGATGTGTGGGATGTGCTTATGAACAGGATTTGGGCATTCGCAGTACTGAATAAATATTGTTTGTCTGTCTTTTGAGACACAGTCTTGCTCTGTAGTTCAGGCTGGGCTTGAACTCACTATGAAGTTCAAACTTGCAGCAATCCTCCTGCCTCAGCCTCCCCAGTGCTGGGATTGAAGCATGCACCACCATGCCTGGCAGTTTCTGGTTTTCGTTTTCCAGTACTAGGGATTGAACCAGTATCAAGCTACATTCCCCAGCTCTTCATTTATTTTTCATTTTGAGACAAGGTCTCACTAAGTTGCCCAAGCTAGGGTCAAACTTGTGATCCTCCTGCATCAGCCTCCCCAGTGCTGGGATTACAAGTGTGTACTACCATATCCAGCAAATGCAATTTTCTGTAATGGTGCACACATAATGGAAATAATAATAAACCTCTGATAATATAATCATCAGGCAATATTCTTCTTTTTTTTTTTTTTTTTTGTCCTTTTGAGAGAGGGTCTCCCTACACAGTTCAGGCTGGACTTGAGCTCCCATTGTAGCCCAGGCTGGCCTCGAACTCGAAATGATTCTCCTGCCTCAGCCTCCTGAGTGCTGGGATTACAGGTGTGCACCACCACGCCCGGCTTCTCTTGCATCTTGAATCTTGGGATTCTATTGTAAACTATGGGGCAAGGCAGGAATCAAATCAGTACAAAGCCTTTACTTCCCAGCAACTGCACAATCATTTGCTGCTTTTCCAGCATATGATCATGGCTCCCACGATGCCAGGGGCTATGGAACGCCCCATAAAACTAATGACGGAGAGTCGCACCCCACTTCCCCCAATACCCATAATGAGGGCAGCTGCGGGCTACTCCAGTTCACTAAGGAAGATGTCCCTCCTCCGAAAGGCCTACCAGCTAAAGCTGCTCTGGGTGGGAAATGGGGAAGAACGTTCCCATTGGGTCAAGGGTTAGATCAGGAGCGTATGTGGAATCGCTCTTCGCCGGGAGACAGCACGAAGAGGACTAATCCTGTTGTGTACAGAGTGACTTTGAAATTTTTCACTTCGGAAAGGCCATGATGTCAAGGAGTCCACGGTTTTGTGAAGGGCACTGACTCGGTTACTTCGGGGAGCTGTAGCCTCCAAGACTCTGGGGAGGACGCTTGAGCGGCAGGGGGCAGTGAGCTCCGGGGCAGATGCACCCCCTCTGTGGGCTCCACGGACAGGGGCAGCTCAGCAAGGGGCATGGACAGTGATACGGAGGAGATATCCACCACAAGGGTAGCCCCTCAACTTCTGGGTTGTCTTTTTTTTTTTTTTTTTGGTCTTTTTGAGACAGGGTCTCGCTGTGCAGTTCAGGCTGGCCGTGAGCTCACTTTGTAGCCCAGGCTGGTCTCGAACTCTCAAAGATCCTCCTGCCTCAGCCTCCCAAGTGTTGGGATTACAGGCGTGCGCCACCACGCCAGGCTTCTGGGTTGTCTTGACCCCAAGAAATGGGAAGGATGTCCGCAGGGTTGGCTAGCGACGGCAAGGTCACTTGCATCCCCTCCACCCCCTTCCCAAGCGCCCAAGGCCTGGGGCGGGCATCCTGGCTCCGACCAGAAAGGGGAGCCGGAGGCTGCCGTCCTAGAGCGCCCTACCTGCGCGACTTTGCTGCAGCCCCGTCCCTGTCCCCGCCTTCGGGGTTCAGGATGCTCTTCTGGGACGCAGGGGGCCCGGCGTGGTAGGGACGAGGCGCCCCGGGCGTCGGGGCGCAGGTGCCGCGGCG